CCGTCGCCGGCGAGAGCCACGAGCAGCGCGAACATCTCGGCCAGGTCCACCTTGGCGCCGGCGGCGACGGCGCGCGCCGTCGCCTCGACGGAGCGCGGCTCGCCCGTCGCCGGCAGCGACGCGAGGCCCGCCGCCGCGTCGGCCATGGGCGTGGCGGCGGCGGCCGCCGGCGGCGGCGACGGCGCGAAGACGAAGCCCTGGGCGGCCGGCGGCGGCGGCGCGAAGCCGAAGGTCGGCGGCGGCGGCGGCGGCGCGACGGCCCGCGGCGGCGGCGGCGGCGGCGCGAAGGCCGGCGTGGAGACCTCGCCGTCGCCGCCGGCGGCGGTCGGCGGCGGCGGCGGCGGCGCGAGGCCCGCCGCCGCGTCGGCCATGGGCGCGGAGACCGGCGCGTCGTCCTGGAACTCCTCCGGGTTATCCTCGATGTAGCGGAGCTCCGCCTCCTCGAGGGCCTCGTCGATGCTCTGGCCCGGGAGCTGGACGACGTTGTAGATCGTCGGCCGCGCGCGCGTCTCGCCGAGGCAGGCCGCGCGCTGCACGCCTCGGCGCTGCACGCCTCGGCGCGGCGCCACGCGCTGCGCGCCGTCGTCGGTCGAAGCCGCCGGCATCTGGAACGCGGCCGCGACGGCGGGCTTCGGGTCCCAGCCCTTGCCCGGGAGCGACGGCGTCATATAGGACGGGAGCGACGACTTGGTCTTGGCGCTCGCGTTGAACGCACCCCAGAAGCAGCCGTCGGACGGGCGCACCTCCTTGCGCACGGGCCGCGGCGGCGGCACGACGATCGCGACGTCCGCCGTCAGCACGGCTTGGAGCCGATCGCGCTTCGCGCGCTCCTCCTTGGCCTTGCGCTCCGCCGCGGCCTTGGCGTCGGCCTCCGCCGCGGCCTCGACCTCGCGCTCCACGCGCTCGGCATCGGGCTCCGCCGCGAGAGCCCGGCTCTCCGCCGAGAAGAGAGTCGGTGGCGGCAGCGCCTCGCCGTCCTCGTCGAAGTTGACGGGAGGCCGCTGGTAATGCGCGAGCATGGCGTTGACGGCGCCCCCCGCCTCGTCCTCGTTGTCGTACGCGCCGCACGCGATGCGGTCCTTGAGCTCGGGAATATACGGAGACGCCCGCCACTTCCCGCCAATGCGGCTGACACCCCAATACTTGGACGACACCTCCTTCCGCCGGCTCAGCAGATCGAGCGCCGCGTCGCGGCGCGCGCGGTCCTCCCGCTCGTCACAGGCAGCGTGATCCCAGTCGATCATGCTCAAGTTCGCGTCGAGGGCAGCGCGCAGCCGGTGGGGCATCGCCGGGCCCTCGTCGACGACGGGCTCCTCGGCCTCGGCGGGCCGCAGCCCCGCGTCGGGGTCCGCGGCGATGGACATCTTGATCTTGCGCAAATCATCGCGGAGCGGCACACCGCTCGCATCAAAGTTCACAGGTTCGTAGCCTTTTTCTCGCAAAGCCTCGTCGACCGCCTGCGCGGCCTGGACCTCGCAGTCGAAGTAGACATTCAGAAGGACCACATTATCGCGCTGGACTGTCACTCGCCATCTCGCCGCCTGCCCGTCCCATGAGACGTTCTCGTAAAGGGACGTCTTGCCTCGGCTCCGGCTGAGGCGCGCCTCCGCCTCGCCCGCCTCGCGTTGGCGCTGCAGGGCGCGCTCCCGTTCGTTGTAGGCGTATCGCTCGGCCATCTCCTTCAGCATCTGGGGCCGGTGGACGTCGCGTTCATCCGGGCGCGAGCCCATCACAGCCGCCGCACGGTCGCTGAGCGTGTCGCAGACGCTGCGGACGAAGTCCATGGCGCTGGCGGCGCGGCAGCGCGGCGGCGCGGCGGCGGGGGGGCGGAAGGCGCGGGTGGAGGCGGTGGCGTCGCGCGGGTCGGGTCGCGGGCGTCGACGGCGCTGGTTGCGTTTGCGATCTGCCTCAGCTCTGAGACCCGAATGTTTGATATTGCGCGGCACCGGCCGATGGTGCCGCTCTTCGTCCGCGCAAATGCCCGACATCGATGCTCGATGCAGCTCGAGTCGGGCTGCCGCGAGACTGTCCGGCACGCGCTGCCTTCCCAAATAACACAGCTATAAGTCTGTGACACCACAAGGCGCTCCAGCCACCCAGCAATATCACTCGTGCACGAGCAGAACCCCATGCAACTCCCGCTCCCAACCCAGTGCGATGGCCCCTTTTTCGAGGCTGCAAAGCTAAAGATCTCCGCACCCAAGTCCAACCCCAAAGTCCCCGCCACCCCCGCCACCCCCAAGACCAAGACCAAGACCACCGCGGGCAGCCGCACCACCAAGACCAAGACCAAGATCCCCATGCTCCTCGTCGTCGCCGCGGTCGCGGTCGCGCCCGCGGCCGCGTTCCCGAGCCGCGTGTCCTGCGGCCAGCGCGTCGCGGTCGGCGAGGTGCTCATGGCCAACCTCCCGGCCCTCGAGGAGACGACGCTCACCTTCGCGTCCGTCGTCCTCTCCCGGGGCGACACGCCCGTGCCCTGCGGCGGCGCGTACGTCCCCGGCGAGACGCTGACCGCGGACCTCGTCGCGGACGCGGGCACGCAGTGGCTCTTCGACCTCGAGGGCAACGGCACCTTCGCCGGCGGCTCCTGCGGCGGCCGGCGCGCCGACGGCGCGGCCCAGCTCGTCGCGCCGCTCGAAGGGCCCGTGACGATCCGCGCGGGCTTCGCCAAGGCCTACGGCGCCGTCACGGTGACGGCGGCCTGCACCCTCGAGGCCTCGGACGTGCCCGCGCCGTCCCGGGCCCCCACGGCCGCCGGCGGCGCCACGGCGCCGCCGACGACGCCCAATTATTACGAGACGGACGTGCTCGTCGTCGGCGCGGGCCTCGCGGGCTCCGTCGCGGCCTGGGCCGCCAAGGCCGCGGACCCGTACGCCACGGTCACCGTCGTCACGGCGTCGCTCACGGACGTCACCACAGCCTACAGCGGCGGCTGGCTGTGGCTCCCGAACAACATCCTGCAGGCCGACGGCGCGGACCCCGAGGACGCGTTCGTCGAGCACGCGTCCCAGATCGCCTACCCCGCCGGCGGCGCGCCGGCCTGGGCCGACGCCGGCCTCCGCAGCTTCTGGGAGTTCTCGCCCGCGGCCATGACCGCGCTCCGCGACGCGCACGTCTTCAACTGGAGCCTCCAGTACGACATGACGGGCCAGCCCTTCCCGGACTACTACGGCGCCGACGCCTACCCGAACAACACGCTCCCGCGGGGCCGCGTCATCCGCGCGACGAAGGGCGGCCGGCCCCTCGCGGGCTACGAGCTCGTCGCCGAGCTCCAGGACGCGGCGCTCTCGGACGTCGTCCTCGAGGGTTATCTGGTGGACGCCGTCGAGGAGCGCGGCGACGGCTCCACCGTCGTGACCGCGCGCGCCAAGGACCCCGCGAACTCCGACGTCGTCATCACGGCGGCGCGCGGCGTCGTCGTCGCCACGGGCGGCAAGATCCGCGGCCTCGAGCCCGACGCCGACGACGACGCGACGCTCGACGGCAACTACGGCCTCGACGCGCACGTCGTCGGCACCTGCGCGTCGCCGGATTCCCGCGGCGACGCGCTCGACGCCGTCGCGACGCTGCCGGGCGTGCGCATCGCCAACAAGGGCAACAGCTGGATGTTCGAGGTCGACAGCACGGGGCTCAACACGATCTGGTTTTTATGGTACGGCCAGCCCGGCGGTGATTTCTTCGTCGTTGACGGGACGGGAAAACGCGTCTACAACGAGGGCCTGTCCTACAACGCGCGCGGCGAGTTCCACCTGGACCGCGTCGTCGACAACGACGGCGAGTCGAGCGTCGAGGACGACGCCGCGCGGAGCCAGCTGTTCTTGGTCTACGGCGACGCGGCGAAGGCGACCTACTCCTACCTCATCGACTCGGCCGACACGATCGCGACGAACGTGTCCCGGGCCGGCGACGCCATCGCGGGGGCGCCCTGGTTCTCCCTCGGCGCGCTCGCGGACGACTTCGGCGCGAACTTGCGAGACACGCTGGACGCCTTCAACGCGGCGGCGAGCGGCGACGGCGACGACCCCTTCGAGCGCGGCGTGCCGGGGACGACGGCCTACGAGTCGTCCATCGCCTGGTGGCAGTTCGCGTTCGCGTATCTGGGCGCGGCCGCGCCGGAGACGATCGGCTACGGCGGCAACGCGCTGACCCAGCCCTTCGCCGGCGACGGCGCGTCCACGCGGTTGTACGTGCGCCCGCTCAACTTCGGGTCCATCGACACGAAGTTCGGCCCCGAGTGCGACGGCGACATGCGCGTCGCCGGCACGGCCAACGTCTACGCCGCGGGCAACGCGGCCGCGAGCCCCTTCGGCCAGACCTACACGGCGCCGGGCAACACGCTGGGCTTCGCGCTGACGTCGGGCTGGGTCGCGGGCCGCCGCGCCGTCGTCGACGTCACGCGGCCGCCGACGCCCGAGTTCGTCGTCGCGTGGGCCGGCGAGCCGTTGGCGATCCCGCCGGGCGCCCACGCGCTCCCCGCGTCGCTGGAGCACCAGGTGCTCCAGCTCGCCTACGCCAACTCGACGACGGTCGTCGCCGCGCGGTCCTACGGCGGCTTCCCCTGGGAGGGCGTCGGTCCGCTGCCGCTCGCCGTGTCCTGCGACGGCGACGGGCTCTGCGACGCGGACTTTCCCGAGGGGCTCTGGCTCCTGGGCTTCGACGCGGCGCCGGAGTCGGACCGCGCGGCGGCGTCGCGCCTCCTGGGCCAGGCGACCTTCGGCGCGACGACGGCGGGCGTCGACGACGTCGTCGAGGTCTTCGGCAACGACACGGCCGCGTGGCTCGCCGAGCAGATGGCGCTGCCGCCGACGTCGCACCGGGCCTACTTCCGGCGGCGGGCCCTGCCGGCCTTCGCCGGCGCCTGCGACGCGTCCGAGGCGGCGACGGACCCGGCCCTCGGGAACCCGCGCTACGGCTGGTACTACGGCGCCGACGACCGCGGCCGCGGCGTCGCGTTCCACGACGACCTCGAGTTCCCCCACGACGAGGAGCTCGGCAAGGGCATGGTCTTCACGAACATCGCGCTACACGCCCCGGACCAGCTCCGCCAGCGCGTCGCCTGGTCCCTGTCGCAGGTCTACGTCGTCGGCGTCGGCGGCGTCGAGGAGGCGCGCGACGAGGTCGAGGTCTGGCTCAAGTTTTATGATATCTTCGTCGAGCACGCCTTCGGAAATTTAAGGGACGTCCTGCGCGCCATCAGCTTCAGCCCCGTGATGGCCGTCTATCTCACCTACTTGGGCTCGCGCCAGTTCGACGGCGTCGACCAGTACCCGGACGAGAACTACGCGCGCGAGTTCATGCAGCTCTTCACCATCGGCCTCCGCGAGCTCCGCGACGACCAGCGTCGAGCGACGGGAGTGTTTTTTCGCGTGAATTTCGCCTAAAGTTGTGAGGAAATCCGACCCCGTCGTACTTGGTAGGCGACGACGGCGCGCCCACGGGCTACGAGACCTACGACAACGACGATATAGCGACGCACGCGCGCGCGTGGACGGGCTTCGACGTCGCGCCGCTGCGCAGCAACGTCGAGGCGAAGCGCGCGGCGAACTACGTCGACGACCTCCGCGTGCACGCGGACCGCCGCGACCCCTTCCCGAAGCGCGACCTCTACGGCGGCTACATCGGCGACCGGCGGCCGCGCTGCGCGGACCTGGACCCGCTCGGCGCGGGGTCTTTGTTCGTCAAGGTCGCCGTGAAAGACGCCTACGCGGCGCCGCTGTCCAACGGGACGCTCTACGCGGCGCTCTGCGCCGAAACGGACGGCGCCTGCGCGTTCCCCGAGACCGTGGCGCTCTCGACGAAAATCGACGGCACGCTCGCGACCCCCCGCGTCGCCCTGGCCGAGGGCCGGCGCTACGGCGCGGCGGCCGTCTACGAGTACGCGCCGCCCGCGTGCGTCGCCGTCGCGTTCTACGAGAGCGGCGTCCGCGCGACGGACGCCCTCGGCCGCGCCCTCTGCGCGGATCGCGCCGCCCCGGCCTGGCGCGCGGCGGGCGCGACGATCGACGAGGAGTCGCCCTGCGCGACGAAGGTCCAGGTCCACAAGACGGGCGCGGTGAATTTGGTCCACGACCCGGCGTCCGACGACGCGTTCCTCGCCGACAGCGACCGCCTCTTCCGCGTCGCCTGGGCCGGGGCCCACCCGACGGCCGACGGCGGCTGCGGCGGCTGCACCGCGCGGGGCGTGACCTGCGTCTGCGACACCGAGGCGACCGCGGCGGCGGCCTTCGACGGTATTCCGGCCTGGGACGACGCGCTCGCGACCCTCCACGTCGGCTCGCCCGTCGGCGACCCGGCGACCCACGAGGGCTACGCCCTCTACGGCGAGGTCGACGGCGTCGCGGCGTACGTGAAACTCGCGTCGTGCCCCGGCTGGTGCGAGAGCAGCTCGCAGCCCGACGAGGTGACGTGCGCCATGTCCGCCTGCATGGAGTGCCACTTCTGCGGCGTCCTCTCGGGCCTCGCCCTGGACGAAGAGGCCGTCTTTTCGTTGACGGACGAGGTCGGGACCGCGATCCATCTCAAGAACGTCGTCGAGACCGTCGACGTCGCCGGCGGCCTCTACGCCTTCCGCAACGCGCCGCACTTCGTGCCCTTTGGGCTCGCGGGCGCCGAGGACTTGGACGACGCGGGGGCCCTGTCGGTCGCGGGCCGCGCGGCCGTCGCGGAGACCGAGGCGCTCATCGACCACATGTTCGAGCACTCGAACACGCCGCCCTTCTTCGCGCGCCACCTCATCCAGCGCATGGTGACGTCGAACCCGTCGCCGCGCTACGTGGCCGCGGTCGCGGACGCGTTCCGATCGGGCGCCTACGACGGCCGGACGTACTCGGGCGCCTACGGCGACATCGGCGCCGCCGTCGCGGCGGCGCTGTCCGACCGCGAGGCGCGGTCGGCCACGATTTTAGCGGACCCGACGCACGGCCGCCTCCGGGAGCCGCTCCTCAAGGTGCTGCACTTCGCGCGCGCGATGGAGCTGTCGCCGACGGGCGGCCGCGAGGTCTCGCTCGAGGGCATGGACCAGAAGATCGGCCAGATGGCCCACGAGGCGCCGAGCGTGTTCAGCTACTACCTGCCGGACTACTCGCCCCAGGGCGCCGTCGGCGACCGCGGGCTCGTCGCGCCCGAGGCGCAGGTGTTGACGGGCACGCAGATGATCGGCCTGCTCAACGGCCTCCACTCGCTCATCGACCACGGCCTGTCGCGCTGCGCGTCGGGCTTCGGCGGCGAGACGGGCTCCTGCCAGTGGCCCGCGGCGGGGGGCCTCGCGTTCGCGCCGGCGGACGACGACGCGGCGGCCGCCGTCGCGGAGCTCGACGTGCTCCTCACGGAGGGCCGCCTCAGCGCCGGGAGCCGCGCCGTCGTCGAGGCGGCCTACGGCGCCGCGACGAATCCCGCCGCGGCCCTGCGCGCGGCCCAGGAGCGCATGGTCCTCGCGCCCGAGTTCCACGCGACGAACGCACACGAGCCCGGCGCGCCGCGCGACTCGTCCAAGTACGAGAAGCCGTCGTCGGCCAAGTTCAAGGCCGTGGTCATGTTGTTTTTGAACGGCGCCGTCGATTCGTATACCATGCTCGTGCCCCACAGCCAGTGCGAGAATTCGAACCGCCTCGCGCGCGAGTACCGCGAGTACCGGGGGCCCGTCGCGGACATGCCCTTCGACGTCACCGACGACTACCTCCTCATCGAGCCGAGGGAGGACACGCAGCCCTGCGGCACCTTCGGCATGCACCCGAGCCTCGCCAACGTCCACGGCCTGTACGAGGACGGCGACGCGGCGTGGTTCGCGAACATCGGGCCCCTCGTCGAGCCGATCACCGTCGACGAGTACCGGTCCGGCGCGAAGCGCACGCCGCCGTCCATCGGCGCCCACAACGTCCAGCAGCGCATCGCCCAGTCCGTTCATTCCGACGACATGAACGCCCAGGGCGTCATGGGGCGCATCCTCGACGCGCTGTCGAACCCGAAGGCGAACCCGCTGAACGCCGTGGGCTACAGCCTCAACGGCATGCAGAAGGCCCTCGAGGGCTCCGGCGCGGCGGACGTCGTCGACCTCAACGGCGACACGGCAACTTCCCGCGCCTGCTGGACTACGACCGCCTCAGGGCCGACTTCGAGGCGCTCACGGACCCGGAGAGCTCGTCGGCGTTCGCGGACACGTTCGCGGGGCTCGTCGGGTCGGCCGTGCTCAGCGCCGAGGAGATCTCCGCCGTCTTCGAGGGCAACGACGGCCTCACGGCGACCTTCCCGAACACGGGCTTGGGGAACCGCTTCCGCAACGCCGCGCGCGTCGTCCGGAGCCGGGAGGCCCTGGAGCACGAGCGCGCGGCCTTCTTCCTCGAGATCGGCGGCTTCGACACGCACGGCAACCTCGACAGCCTGCCGGGCAAGCTCACGGAGATCGACGACGCCGTCGCGGCCTTCGCGGACGAGATGAAGGCCCAGGGCATCTTCGAGGACGTCGCGATCGTGACCATGTCCGACTTCGGGCGCACGCTGACGTGGAACGGCGCGGGCACGGACCACGGCTGGGCGGGCCACCACTTCATCGTCGGCGGCGGCTTGAACGGGTCCCAGATTCTGGGCCACTACCCGGAGACCATGGGGCCCAACGGGGCCATGAACATCGACGAGGGTCGCGGCCGATTGATCCCGACGACGCCCTGGGAGTCCATGTGGGAGCCTCTGGCCAAGTTCATGGGCGTCAAGGACGAGGACATGGACTACGTCATCCCGAACCGGCACAACTTCCCGGATCTGCTCGTCGAGAGCGACGTCTTCGAGACGGGGCCGACGTCGATGCCGACGCCCGTGCCGTCCGCGCCGCCGTCGTCGAGCCCGTACCCGACGCCGGAGCCCTCCGCGGACCCGACGGAGGCGCCGAGCCCCGCGCCGACGCCCCTGCCGTCCATCAGCCCCGTGCCGTCCGCCGCGCCGTCGCCCGAGCCGTCGATGACGCCCACGGTCTCCAAGGTGCCGACGTCCGCCGCGCCGAGCGCGTCGCCCGTCCCGACCGCGGCGCCGTCCATCTCCGCCGCGCCGACGCTCGCGCCCGTGTGCGGCGGCGTGCCCGGCGTGACGTCCTACGGCCCCTACGACCTCCACTGCCTCGCGCTCGGCGACGGCCAGATCGTCGACGCGCTCGCCGTCGAGGGCGGCGCGCGGACCTGCCGCCACACGGACGCCAACTCCTGCCCCGAGGGCTTCGACATCTGGGTCCCCCGGTCCTACGAGCACGCCGAGGCGGTCTACGAGGCCCTGGGCGCGCCGCTGACGGGCCTCGTGGGCGTCTACAAGGAGTCGAACGGCTGCGCGGGCTGCACGCGCGTGCCCATGAACTCGGCGGCCTACGACGCGTGGGTCGCCGAGGATCTCAGGGGCCGCGTGAGCGCCATCGACGCCTCCGTCGGCGGCTGCCTCTACGCGTTCAACCTCTACGACGCGGACGGGACCGCGAACCAGTTCGGCGACCCGGAGGGCGTGGCCTTCGACGGCCTCGAATTCGTCAACACGACGTCGGAATACGTGAGCCGCGTGCGCCACTACGGCGGCTGCGACGAGTCCCTGGGCCGCGGCGTGACCTTCACAATCAGCGACTTCCTCGAGGGCGACCGGAAGGTGAAGGACGTGACCTACGGCGCCACGAACGCGCCGCTCGTCGGCGACTTCGAGGCGGCCTGGCCCTGCCAGATCACGGGCGTCGACATCGACGGCGCCGACGTCTCCGGCGCGGACATTTACTGCGGCGGCGCGCGCGATTCCTGGACGTCCGTCGCGGGCGACGAGTGGTTCCTACGATCGGAGACGTACACCGAGCCCAACGGCAACTATCTGGCCAACTGTTGGCTCACGACGAACTGGCGCAACGGCTGGGAGGCCGGCGTCGGGTTCCGCTTGGACGACAACCAATGCAATTTGTGCTTCGACGACTATTTGTGTTCCACGAATCGCGTCGACTACGACGGCCCGACGAGCGCGCCGTCGGCCTTCCCGAGCGGGCATCCGACGATCTCGCCGCTCCCGACGCACCCGCCGACGACGTCCGTACCGAGCCACGCGCCCGCGCCGCTCCCGACGGCCGTCCCCACCATCTCGTCCCCGCCGTCGATCGCGCCGACGCCGGCGCCGTCCGTCGTCGGCGTCTGCGGCGGCGAGGCCGGCGAGTTCGAATACGGGGACCACGCGCTCCACTGCCTCGAGGTCGACGGCGAGGTGCACAACGTCATCCCGATCACGGGCGGCGCGCGGACGTGCTCGCGCCTAGACGAGAACTCGTGCCCGGGCGGCTTCGACATCTGGGTCCCGAAGACGTACGCGCACGCCGCGGCCGTGAGCGACCGCTTCGGCGGGTCGCCGTACACGAACGTCGTGGGCGTCTACCGGGAGGAGGGCGGCTGCGGGGGCTGCACGTCCTACGCGATGAACTCCGAGTCCCAGGCCGTCTACGAGGCGTCGTCCGACGGCAACCTCGGCTGGCGCGCGGTCGGCGGCGGCGACTGGTTCATGCGCAACGCGCCCTACTCGGAGCCCAACGGCGACTACAGCGCGAACTGCTGGCTCACGTCCAGCTCGTGGGACGGCGTCGAGGAGGGCCTCGGCTTCCGCTTCAACGACTGGTCCGGGTCGCACTGCGGCTACTGCTTCAGCACCTATCTATGTTCCACGAACACGGCGGAGATCGCGCCGACGGCCGCGCCGACGGCGTCGCCGCGCCCGACGGCGGCGCCGACGCCCGGCCCGACCGTCTCGCCGATCCCGTCGCCCGCGCCGACGGCGACGCCCGCGCCGTCGTCCGTGCCGACGGCCGCGCCCACGCGGCCGCCCGTCTGCGGCGACGGGCCCGGCGTCCACGCCTACGACAACGGCGGCGACGTCCACTGCTTGGTCGTGAACAACGACACGCTCGTCAACGTCTACCCCGTCGCGGGCGGCGACCGGACGTGCCGGCGCACGGACGCGAACAGCTGCCCCGACGGCATGGACCTGTGGGTGCCGCGGGACTACGCGCACGCGGCGGCGGTCCGCGCGGCCTTCGGCGACGCGATGACGAAGCTCGTGGGCGTCTACCGCCCCGAGAACGGCTGCGGCGCGTGCACGACGACGCCGATGAACTCCGACGACCAGAGAGCGTGGGCGGCGCTCGACCCGGGGAACAACGTCGCGTTCACGTCCGTCGCGGGCGACGGCGAGCCCTGGTTCATGCGCAGCGCCTGGTACAACGAGCCCAACGGCAACTACCAGGCCGACTGCTGGCTCACGACGACCTGGCGCGAGGGCTGGGAGGAGGGCGTCGGGTTCCGCCTCGACGACAACCAGTGCAACATCTGCAGCGCGAGCTACCTCTGCTCCACGAACCAAGTCGAGCGGCGCCGCGACGAACCGACGCCCGCGCCGACCTTCGCGCTGCGCGTCACCGTCGACTGGGGCGGGCTCTGGGCCCCGGCGTCGAACGCCGCGGCCGGGGCCGCGACGGCGGCCGCGGTCGTCCGCGTCGACGCGTCCGACGGCGCCGCGGCGCTCGCCGCGGGCACCGCGGCGACGTTCGAGTGGACCGGCGACCACGACGTCTGGCGCCTCGACAAGGACGCCTTCGAGTCCTGCGACTTCTCGAACGCGACGTTCCTCGGCGCGGCGCCGGGCGTCACGGTCGTCGGCGCCGCGGGCGACGAGGCCTACTACGCCTGCGGCGTCGGAAACCACTGCGCCGAGGGCCAGAAGCTGGCCATCGCCTGGGCCGGCGCGCCGTCGGCGTCGCCCGCGCCCGCGCCGACGCCGCGGCCGACGCCGCGGCCCTCCGCGGCGCCGACGCCGCGGCCCACGCCCCGGCCCACGCCCCGGCCGTCGCCGGAGCCGACGCACGCCAACGCCGTGGCCGTCGACTGGTCCCTGGACCCGCCGTCGCAGACCGCGGCCTACGCCGACGACGCGACGCTTTTCTTCGAGTGGACGGGGTCGCACGACGTCTGGGAGTTCGCGACGGAGGCCGCCTGGGCGAGCTGCGACTTCTCGGACGCCGCGCTCCTCGGCGACGCGTCGGGCGTCGCCGTGACGAGCGCGGGCACGGGCTTCTACGGCTGCGGCGTCGGGAGCCACTGCGCGGACGGCATGAAGCTCCGCGTGGCCTGGTAC